ACTATGACATATTCTTGCTGCTCTCCAAAAAAATTAAACCTGAAGCTAGTCTATTCTTTATACTTGAATTCCAAATTATAGGAAATATGACATAGAAGAATCTTCTAAGTTAAACAGTATCATGAGGAAACAAAGGGAAAATCCAGAAGTTCTGTAGGACAGCCGACCCAGTTTCTTCAACACGCAGTAGCATGGGGAAGGAGGGGAGGGGATGGCGGTGAGGACTGATCCAGAGTCAAAGGACTCCAAAGACAAAACACAGAAATACAAAATGTACATCTTCGTGATGCTGAGTCATGGTTTCAAATCCAGATTAAGAGGATGATCTTTTGAAGACGATCTTTGAGCAGAGGCCTTACATTTCACACTGAGCCTTGAAGTATAGTTCTTTGGCTGTGTCAGAAAGATTAGAAGGTGGCATGACTAGAGGTGCAGAAACCAGAAGCTATGCGAACATGGAAGGGCCCCAGGCACTGGGCCATGAAGTCAGAGGTGGCCTACGTGTGACACAGCATCTCCTCTGCAGTCCTGTGTACCACAAAGGATGAAGGAATGAGTGAAAGGAAAAAGAATGTGCAGGAATAACCTACAAGGTTTGGCAAGCCACTGGAGGTAGGGCTGTCTGCTTAACTGGTGAGGGACTCCTCAGACCTGTAAATATGTGTCAGATGACCTGGTGAGCACAGGTGTAGAAGGGATGTGGAGAGAGCATGCGCTGAGACGGAAGAAAGCACATGTTTGAGAATTTTTTTTTAAATCTGCTTTCCAATACTGACTTCGCAGCTTATTAGCTGCGTAACTTGAAGAAGTTATTTTCCCCTGAGCCTCAGCATCACATCTAAAGTGAATATAATGATATATATTACTGAAAAAATTAAACTAGATTAAAAAAAATCTTTTTTAAGTGCACCATGTTTGGATCCCGATTCAAATAAACCAACCGGGGAGATTTGAATTCAGACTGCCTATTAGAAGATATTAAGAGAGGTGTTCAGTGGGGAGGGTATAGCTCAAGTGATAGAGGGCGTGCTTAGCATACACAAGGTCCTGGGTTCAATCCCCAGTACCTCCTCTAAAAATAAACAGATAAACCTAATTACCTCCTTCCCCACCAGAAAGTAATTTAAAAAAAAGAGAGAGAGTTTGTTCATTTTATCTGTGTGAAAATGGTATTATGGTTATGTAAGAAAAATGTCATTTATTTTAGAGATACATACAAAAGTATTTAGGATGAAATAAAATGATGTCAAGATTTGTTTACATTGCTGCAGTGATAGAAGGGAGGGAGGGAGAGAGGAGAAGGAGGGGAGGAAACTTTGATGATAAAAAATTTAAAGGTATGTACAAAAGTACTTCTTAGGATGTATTTATTCCTGGGCTAGCTCTGTCACAGGATATTCAAATTGCCTGTTTACTTGTCTGTACCAGTATTCCTCAAATTACCAGTATTAAAAGACCAATATTTTTAATTGTCTCAGACTGTGATTTTTGTAACATACAATAAAAATCAATTACCATAAAGGCAAAAACCAGGGGAGGGAAGAGGACATAACAAAATATAGCTTTAAAAAGTTTCGTTATTAAAGTCAACAAACATAAAATTACATTTCACTTAACAATCAGAACAAATGTGAACATAAGAAAGAAGAATTTTTTTTAAACTATCCATTCATCAAAAAATACACACATGGGCAGTTAGTATAGAGAATTGCTGTTACACTCATAAGTTTTTTTCTGTAACCATAGTTAAGTTTTTAATGTGAACCATATGCTTTTCATATGTTATCTTTAGACCTTGTGCACTAACTGAGCTTGGATTGGTAACAGTGCCCCTCGTAGGAATGGTGTTTATACCTAAACTGATGTAATTTGCAGCCACAGGTTTTTGCCTCAGTTACTTCTGTTACTGATCTCTCAGCAGAGAGTTTCCCAGGCTGCCTGCACCACAGAAATCGTAACGAAAGGGGAAGATCATAGATTGGCTGGAATACTGGAATACTCGCTGAGATTTTCACTTAAAGAGTGAAGATACTTCCTCTTTAAATGGTTGGTCTCTAAACCTCTGGAACATGGATGTCGTCCTTTTTGTCACAGTGTATTACAGGTTTACTGAAGTGTGATGACTGTCGCTTTAGATGGTAATTTTAGGTTAGGATGTACCGTGCCTTTGTTTTTCAAACAGTGCCCTTCCAGCCAGGCTTCAAAGCTTTTTATCCCCCTCGGCTGTGGGAGCTCCAGTTTGGACTGATCACGTCAACAAACAGTCCATTACTGTAGGTTCTATTGAGCTTCCCAGGACTCGTATTGCAGGCAATAGTTTGGGTTATTTTTCCATATCTATTAACTTGGACTTATCCACATTAGGTCTTTATTAACATTTGTCTGAGTTGTTGAAATCTTTCCCATTGGCCCATGCTGACTCAGCATTTTCAATAGGAAGAAATTTTGTCTATTTAGGGAAGTGAACCAACCAATTGTCTATGAGAAAAAAACTGTCTCATTTAGTGATGGAATTTACACAGCATTTGGGTGCAATCTTAGGAAAGATAATGCTAACTAGCCAAAAGATAACCCCTCACGGAAAGCATGCTCATTCCCCTGCAGAAGTTATGTTTGCCCAAGGGTACCACCCTTTGTTCAGACTTCCCAGCTCAGCCAGTGTAGACACGGGGCTTTGGTTTACTCTTATCAATAGAATTGTCCACTTGCGAGTTTACTTAGACAGAGTCAGTCTGATGTCAGTTCAGACATTTTGGCTGAAAAATCTACGTATTTGTTCTTCAGTGAGCCTTTCTTTCTCCTTTAGAGGTATGAATAGCTACCCTGTGAGCTCTGTAAAGGCCAAGGGAAGGGGTGACAAGCTGATCATCTCAGGTTGTGATGATAGCAGATCCTGAAAAATATACAACATGTTCACTTACATTTAAAGCCTGTAACATGTACAGTAGAGTGATGCTGCCCCAGTTTTATAATGGTGTTTTTGGGAAGGTCCGTGAAACCATCCATATTAAGACCTTAACCAGCTAAGTATTTAGGAAGTGCTCTGCCTGTGATGTTTTGTGCTTCGTGCTGAGCAACGTGGGGAGTAGAGAAGAGAAAGGCCCCTGCCCTCAGGAAGCTTACATGAAGATCTTTCATTGTGTAAGGCACAATGTGCTCGAGTTAGGGCTAGATGGGTCTGCATGTGCATTTGCAAATGTGCACGCACATTGAGATATTTACGATGCATAAGCAGATAATGAAAGTGTGAGGCAGTGTGTTATGAGTGATAAGGGGTTGAGAGGAGAGAGATTGTTACTACCTGAGTGGTGAGGGACTGTTTTAGGGCAAGGGAGCATCTGAGCAGGGTTCTGAACGGATAGATAGGATGCAGCAGGAGTCTAGTAAAGAAGCTTGCTACATTTTGGGTTTTTTTTTAAAAACTCAAAGTTTCTAGTTTCACATCAGCCATTTGCTTACCAATTGTGTGAATTCAGCCAGGTTACTTAATCCCTCTGATCTTCAGTTTCCTCATCCACAAAATGGGAATTAGAGCGATAGTTAGGGCTGCTAGGAAGATTAAGTGAGACACTGTGATAGGAACATGCTTTATACATTGTACATTGTTGTGCAGGTGTTAGTAAATGTTACTGTAAATACTGAGGGTGGCATGAGCCAAAGACATGGAATTTAAAAACCAGTAAAACCACAAAGCCTAGCGCAGAGAATATGTGAAGGTGACTGTGAATATTGATGTACCCATACAGTTCCTGACTTCGGAAAATAATCTTAAATAGAAATGCCTTTCAGGGTTTATGTTGACCCCTTTCCTTCAAAAGATCATTTCAGAGGCCTTTTAGGTCTTCAGGTGAGACTTGACTAAGTTGTAATGTAATTGAATTCATGTGAACATATGCAGAATTAATTTTTTAAATAAACTGCTTTAATAGATACTGTAACATTGCACAAAGGTAGCTAATGTATCTTGTAAAAGTATATGTTTAGAGAACACGGTTTTGAGAACAAGTCTGTGTGTTCCGGGGTAGATCAGAATTGCTCCACTGAACAGGAATACAGAGTGAATTATTTAAGCTATTTCCAGGGACCATCATATCTCCTCTTACAGGTGTTTTGTATAATAACAGCATGAATGGTTGTTTGAAAGAATGATATCGTTTGTCTGATGGGATATCAGAGAATTTATTTACCTTCTTTGTCTTATATAAATTTTATTTTTAAAATGTGGTTAGGAAAAATATTCAGTAAATTTTTCAACAAAAGAACAGAGGGAGGGTTTAGGCTTAAAAAAGCATTTTTTAAAGTGAAGTATAGTTAATTTACAACGTTATATAAGTTTCAAGTGTACAGCATAGTGATTCAATATTTTTACAGATTGTACTCTATTTAAAGCTATTCTAAAATTGGGAGTTTGAGATTTGCAGATACTAACTAATATAGATAGATAAATAAGTTCATACTGTATAGCACAGGGAACTATATTCGATACTTTGTAGTAACTCATGGTGAAAAAGAATATGAAAATGAATGTATGTATGTTCATGTATGACTGAAGCGTTATGCTGTACACCAGGAATTGACACAACATTGTTAACTGACTATACCTCAATAAAATATATATATACAAAAAATGTTTTTAAATAAAGCTATTATAAAATACTGGCTATGTTTCCCTGTGCTATACAATATATCCTTGTTGCTTATTTATTTTATGCATAGTAATTTGTACTTCTTAATTTAAAAAAGCGTTTTGAATTGTACTATGAATATTATGCCAATTACTGCTGTCTGATCTCGGGGTCTCTCCACTCATCTGGATTCCCATGAGATATGATCGGAATTACTTTTCTCAAGGCAAGGAACTTGGAAAATAGCATTTTACTTGAACACTAACCCTTGTTATTAAAAGAACTTTTTAGAGGAAAAAGCAATGCTGAATACTAACAGTGAGGTTTTGTGTGTGTGTGTGTGTGAAGAATTCTGAATTCTTTTTTCTTTCACAGACTACCTTGCAAATCACGGCCGGCTAAATGAGTCTGAGGCCAGGCGCAAATTCTGGCAAATCCTGTCCGCTGTCGATTACTGTCACAGTCGGAAGATTGTACACCGTGACCTCAAGGCTGAAAATCTCCTGCTGGATAACAACATGAACATCAAAATAGCAGGTACCTGGGACACAGCTGGCTCTAACGGGATCAGACAGGAGCCGTGGCCCTCGGGGTGGGGACACAGACCTGCAGGCGGAGACTCAGGCCCGCCTCTACCCATGACATGGAGCTCTCTCACGGTGTATTTTATTCATTTCCTTAGTTCTGCGTGTAATGAAAAGGAACAGAAATAAGGTTATTGATAGACACACAGTGACAGGAGCGCGACTGGGGTCTGACTTGTATCCTCAGTCTGATCTGCGTCCAAGTCTCCTTGTGGCAGGCCACTGAGCGTGTGGGCGACTGGAGGGGCTGATCGGGCTGGAGGCACAGCGTAGGTCACTGTCTTAATAATGTCGTAAAAACCTGCTCTCTCAGTAATGACTGGTGACTGCCAAGAGACTGCAGACAGAGAAAAGACAAAGGAGGTGATGGAAATAGCATGAGAAGCCTTTGGGGCACAGACGCTCTTTGCCTGGCTCTGATGCAATAGGGTTTTGATTTATAACATGGAGACTAAGGATTATTTTGCTGGTTTTCCTTCTGCCCTTTTCACAGCTGTGAAAACTTTTATGTTTTATATTCCAAGTTTCCTTATTCACATGGTCAAAGCTGTCGTTCAGTCAATAAATATTTATGTGTCTGGTGCTGTTCTGTGCTAGGATACAAATCAAAAAGTCACTTCCTGTGATCTTAAAAGTCTAGTGGGGAGATAAGAATAATTAAAATACAATGTGCTAGTTATCCAAAAACATATGTACAAACTGCAGTGGAAATTCAGACGTAGGAACATCCAATCCGTCTACCTGAGAAGTCAGGGAAGCTTCTCAGAGAAGGAACTGTTTGAATTTAGGCTTGAGAGAGAAGTTAGAATCTCGCCAGGAAGATAAATAGAAGTTGGGTATTGCAGACAGGTAGGAAGCTATGTAAATACCACACGTGTAAGAGAGAGAGAGATTAAGACTGGAATGGTGGGGAACTATTGTTCAGTATTTGGTGAAATGCAAAATCTGTAGGTGAGGGGCACTGATACAGGAGGAGCAGGGAAGCAAAGACCAGAACACGAAAGATTCATGGACAAATCTCGTGGAAAAGATTTTATTTATTTATTCTGTAGGTGATAGGGAGTGTAGCCTGTTGGAAATCTTGGGGTGGGGGTGGGGCTGGGAATGAAGGGAGACTGGGATGCCGTGATTAGATTTGCATGTTAGAAAGGTGTCTCTCTGGCTGCAGAGTGAAGAGGGGTGGGAGACGTGGGTAAGACTGAAGACAGGGAGATTAATAGGGATCTAAGGCAACTGTCCAATTAAGAAAATGTGGGTGTGCAGAGAGGAGCAGTAGTAGAGGCTGTAGGTGTGGGAGGGAGAGATTTATTTCGGTTAGGGTTTGGAAGAGGATAAAGGGCACAATACAAAAGCTGAGGGACAGAGCCGCCTGCATGAAAGGATGACCAAGAAATGGTCGACTAGCCAGCTTGGATACTCACTGGACTCACTAAGTTTAGGGAGGAATCACCTGCCCCATTTTGCTGCATTTTGGTCAAAATATAAGTGAAAAAGCCTCTGATTTGTGCATTTAACTTGTTTATGTCTGTGCTGTTTACCATTTTTGCCTTGGGCATTTGGAGGAAGGCAAATAAGTAATTTTTACTAACTTAACTTTTACTTATTTTAATTTTAATAATTAATTTCAAATGCCAGTGTCACATATGTTTCAGGGAAGTAATGGCTCTTCCATTCTGTAGTCTGTGATTTTTTTTCCCTAATGGGATTGCCTGAATAAGACAATGTTTTTTATTTAGTATATTAGTGTTTTTGTAATTTATAATGTGTGTTCATTTCTCCCACTTTTCCTTCCTCTGGCCCTTCCATTGGTCTCATTCATTTCGCTCTTTTTTGCCGGCCTTCTGTAGGGCACCTCACTGGAGGTTTTTGTTTACTTCTCCCTGAAAGCATCAGCTGCCCTAAAATTGTCCTTCTCAGAGAAGGCTCTTGGTTTTTTGTGTTTTTGTTTTTTTTGAAGTTCTTTACTCTGTAGAAAGAAGGGGGAAACCCTACTTCACCTTTACATTCCCTTATAGCCAAAACAAAAAGTTCACAAAAACAATACCCCAGAGGGGTTCTGGGGGTCTTTTTAGGCAGAGAAAGAGAGATTAGAGGTGTGAGTCCTATGCTATAGGAATTTACAGAGTGCTCTGTCACTAGCATCTCAAGAAGAAAATGTCAAAATAGAACACCAAGTAAACTTGCAAACAGAATATACAGAATCTTCCTTTAAGGTTATAACTGAGTTTTGCCTGGCTGTAAAAATGTCTTCTGTAATATAAGTAGGTAAACTCAATATTCCTAGTGTCATTATGTGAAATTCAGTTTTCTGTTTGTTTTTACTATTTTTATTTTTGAATATCTAACCTTCAAGGCCTTCTGATTTTTATCTGGAAGACAGGTTAAGTGTCAGAGACCTGCCCTGGTTCTCACTGGTTAAGCTAACATTTATTGAGCCTTCACTATTTTCAGGTGTTCTGCTAGACGCTTGTATCATTTGATCTGCACAGCAACCGCAGAAGCTGCACGGGGACTGCCAGTTTTTAGATGGGAAAGTTGAAACACAAAGAGATTCAGTAACTTGCAGAGGTGACTCAGATGTTAAGTCAGACCTGGAATTCAAACCTAGGTCTCTGACCACAATATCTGTGCTTCCTCCACGACGCCGTGTTGTAGTTTCCAAGCGTTGCTTGTCAGTTATTCCTCAAGGAGTACTCACTACTAAATTTGGGGTTCCATCATTCAGTATATGTACATTTAGCATCTTTGATTCCATACCTCTCAAATGGACACACACACACACACACTTTCGCACACACACACGTGTACCCACAGTATTATAGGTTCTCAAGTTTCTTCCTGCCCACATTTTTTCTCTGTCATCCTTACCAGCATGTCCCCCAAATTTTAACAAATGTCTATTAAGCATCTTCTATGCTCCTGGGCTAAGTCCTGGAGATTCAGATATTTCAAGACAAAAAAGCAAAAAAGCTCAACTCTGCTCTCACCTGAAGGAGTTAATCCAGAACCGGACCTTTAAGGAAACAGAACATTAAAAAAATAATAATAATTGTTGTAGAGACCAAGAAGCTCGGAGAAGGACTGACTCTGCCTCGAAGACGCAGGGAAATTGGTAGCTAAGACCTGACTGAGAAGGAAGCATTTGTGGTTAGACTGGGGAAGAGAAGGACGAAGGGGGAGAGTGTGTCGAGGGGGTGAGGTACGGATGGCAGCTCCAGGCAGATGGATCAGCAGGTGCAAAGACAGGCGGGCCAGAGAACTCAAAGTGTGTAAGGACAGGACGGACCAGACCCATCGGAACATAAGTGCCAGTGAGGAGTGTAGGGAAGGAGCCTGGACAGGTGGGCAGACACAGAGCATGAAGGATTTCACATGGCCATCAAAAATTGAGATGTGTCCCAGTGCTGGTAAAGAATTTCTCCAGGGTATTTATTTTTACGCATGGATTTTTAGACATTTTTATGGCCTTGCTTCCCTTTCAGAACATATCTTCTGATCTCTGAGGCTTCTTCTTAAAAATTTCTTCTGGTTTTGTTGGGTTTTTTTTAATTTAGGGATTTTTTAATTTTTAAAATTCTTATTTATTTATTTTTGGTGGGAGAGATAACTGGGTTTACTTAGTTATTTATTTTTTTAGAGGAGGTACTGGGGATTGAACCCAGGACCTCATGCAGGCTGGCCATGCACTCTACTACTGAGCTATACCCTCCCCTTTCTTCTTGAATTCAAGGAAATCCAACACATCTAGGAAAAATGGGGCTCCATGGAAAAACTGCAAAACCCCAGAATAAAATACAAAATTATTCCCTTAAATCATACTTTCCTGTTTATTCTGTTTGTGAAGATCTCTTCAGTTGCTAAATGAGCTGAATAAATGAACAGTTCCAGCCGTCTTGTGTGTTGAAATTGAAGAGCAGCACAAACCAAAACGAGGTTAAAATTAAAATATATGTCTCTGTTTATAAGAAAGGAAATGGGGTAGAAGTATCAGATGTGGCTCATTTTAATAAATGCAGAAACTTGGTTTTGAAATCAGCTTCTCATTTGTGCTCCTCCGATGAGTGAAGACTTCAGACACTGGTGAGCCGTGGGTTCACCCCCATCTGGGTGCGCTCGTCACCTCAATTATGAGACCTCCAGCCTTCACAAAGTACAAGCGTTAGGACATTCAGAGTAACAGGCAGGATGCAAAGAAATGCTGGCTTTCGTGAGTTTCAATCGTCACAGTGCTGTTTCCCCCGAGCCATTTTAGCCATGACTGTTATTCTCAGGCATTAAACCCGAGAATAAATAGAAGAAGGGCATTTAGTTTTATTCTTCAGCTTTCCTAATCTGAAATGTTTATAACAAATACTTAGATAAGAATTAAAATGTATGAATTTTACTTGGAGGAAGTTTTCAGAAAATATCACAATTCAAGCACAGCTTCACATGAAGATTGTGGAGTTTGGTGTCAGGCAGGACTGGTGCAAATTCTGGCTGGTTGACCTTGGGCTGGTGACTTAACCTGGCTGAGCCTAGGTTTCCAAATCTATCAAACAGAGATTAATGTGTTTCTCAGGAACACGGTAGGTATTAGTGATAATGTTAGAGGCAGGGAGGGTAACAGGTAGGATTGCGGGCTGCCTGGGTTTGAATCCTGGTTCTGCCACTTCTAGCTCCATGACCTTGGACACATTACCTAACCTCTCTGTCCTCGGCTTCCTTATCGGTTAAGAGGGAGTGACAGAAGTTTGTATCTTATAGCGGTTTCTAGTTAATATTTGCAGAGTTCTTAGAACAGTGCCCGGTACATAGTTAACGCTGTTTAAGCGTTTGTTAAATAAATTGTCAATTGAACTTCCTGGCACCATGTAAACACTCAATAAAAGGTAGCTATTATTTATCTTCAGGGTATAATTAATTCCATGTGAAAACAAATCCTGACAATTTTGATAGCCATATAACCCCCCT